ATGGAAAGGCAATCTTTCCATGTCGTGGATTTCTATAACAATTTCCGCCAAGTTCCCTAGAAGGTGGGTCGGGTTGTGGCCATTTACGGGTAATTGCTTTTTTTGCTGCTACTGTATTTTTAAGAGCTATCTGTCATTTCCTGTTATTGCCTTTGGTAAATTGCCTGAATAGAGTGACTTGCATGTGTATGGGATCTTCTTTCCAAGGATATGCTGCATAGTTGCTCCATATAATTTCCGAGAATATTTGTATCTTGGGACAACCCCAAAATATATGGTGGTGGTCTGCTCTATCTTCCTCCCATCTTCTCCAGCATGTTTGGTTTATTGTAGGTAATTACGTCTTCATTTTTGGAGAGATAAAGAAATAAACAAGGTTCTTCCAGCCAAATTCACACCAGTACGCAAAACAGGAGGTAGAAAACGTGGTTTTGCACGTGGGTTGCACACTCCGATTGCTGAATGTCTCCGTTTGTCTATCGTCAAGGTATGTATTCCCACTCCGAAGAAGAAAACCTTTGAGTATCCTTGAAGACCAACGTCTTTGTCTTTGTCAAAACGCAAATGCCATAAGCAATGACATTTTCCATGTTTTCCGCATTCACCTGAGACAGAACGCATCCAACAGCTGTGCCGGATGCATCTGTGAAAAGCAGAAACTCCTGTGAGAAATACGGATAGGAGAGAACGGTTGAGACTTTCAAAAGCATTCTGTTCAACCTTGGTCCACGGAAAAGTGTTTCCTTTTTGAGTAAGAGCATCAAGTGGCTCAGACATTTTTGCAAACTCCTAAATGAAACGCCGGTAGTAAGAGCATAGGCCAAGGAATGCTCTGACTTCAGAAGGGTTTTTGGGGACACTGTTTTTCAGGCCTTAGTCCTTCATGTGAAACGCCATGCCCCAAAAATGTCACTTCCTGTGAAATGCAAAACTGCATTTCGAAGGTTTGAGTTTGAGGTTAGCGGCTTTGAGGTGATCAAACAGCTCTCTCAAATACTGAAGATGGACTGAAAAACTGTGACTATACTTGATGAGTAATGTCATCAAGGTCTTCCATGAAAGACCTTGTAACACCATTTGCATTAGATGTTGGAAAGTGGGGGGTGCATTTACTAAACCCATGGGCATCATACAAAACAGGTAAGGTCCTCTGCTTGTGGTGAAAGCTTTACTTTGTCCTGTTCCTGAAGCTGCACTTGCCAATACCCTGATGAGAGATCCTTTGTGCTGAACACCGCTGAGCCTCTCAGTGCATCCAAGGTGTACGTCGATCTGGGCAAAGGGGGGGGGTTTTTTACTGTGACTGGATCCAAAACTCTGTTGTCTACACAAAAACACCATGTGCATCCTCTCTTCTGTCCATCCAACAGGTGCTGGTCAGGGGCCTGTGACTCATTTCTCACTATCTCTTTTCCAACATCTCAGCGCCATGAGATTGAATCAATGTTTGCATTTTTGGAGACCTATGATACTCACGCTTCCTAACTAATCGTCGTGAAGGTTTCAACTGAATGGCAGACAGAAATAAATAGATCATAGTTTGTTGTTGCCCACAGCTACAAGAAAACACCTGCAATATACATCTATAGTGGCGGAAGATTAATTTGTACGATTTTTTTCCTTCCTGTCTCTGACAGACCAGACCGCAGTTAACGTTTGTGATGGCGGGGTGTGGTCAGCTCAGCTGCAGGGGTGAGAACGGGGGAGTGGTTCAGGGGACGGTGACGGCAGGAGAGTAAGGAGCACAGGTGGAAGTGATCAGAACTGATTGTGTGTCCCTTGAAAAGCAGTGAGCAGGGCCTGGAGAGAGAGGGAGACTCTGCAGCAGACGCTCAGCGGCAAGGCCGAGGAGGAGGAGGAGGAGGAGGAGGAGGAGGAGGAGGTGGTGGTGGTGGTGGTGGTGGAGGAGGAGGAGGAGGAGGAGGAGGACGAGGACGACCATGCGAAACCTGCTCACTGCGAGAAAATAAAATAAAATATATTGCTCAGAAGAATCGTGTCTCCGTGCGTCCTTACGCGAACCCCAAAGGTGGTGGCTCGAACCTGCTACAACGTTAAAACTATCCCTCCCTTCACCTCCAGAATAAAAAAGGCAGGCCAGCGTATTCCGGTCCCAACAGTTGTGGAAGTTACGTTCTTTTTACTGACAAACATGTTGTAGAAATATTCATCTTATACACACAATTAATACGTCTGTTACACGGACATCACTGTAACATTTAAATGGACTCTTCATTTCTTACTTAACAGAACATTTATGCGACAGCTCACTGAAATGGGGTCGAAGATATTTCGCTGGTCAACAAAGTTTTATATTTATTAAGATCATGTAGTAAAATGTATTTGAAATTTGCTGTCTTGTATTTGATATGGCCCTTCAGTATTGTCTTAAAAGGTAAATTGATAGTCCATTCTACATGTTTCATCTGTAAGTTAAAAGTTAAAACATTGACTTCCCTGTGACATTAGGGAATGCCAGTATTCCAGTTCTCTAATTTCACTTCTCTAATATATTTATCTCATCTTTTATTTTTTGCTCAGCATCACCAAGGCTCCGGAGGCAACCTCTGTATGATAGTAAGTAATAGGCTGTATGCTCAATGCTTTTTCACTGCATTTGTTTAGTGGGATGTGTGCTAATTATCCTGTTCTCCTTTATAGGATTATGCATGTGGAAGGAAAAGCGGTTTGGATCTGATTTGAGGTTGATATTCATTTACATTGTCAGTAATTGAAATACACAATGCACTTGATCATTTTGGCAATTTTGTTAATTAATTTCCTGATCAGATGGTTTATTATTTTGTATTTGCTCCGTATGGTCAGTTCTGACTTCTCTGAGAATTTGCACTAAAAAATGCCTGAACTGCATTATGTTTCATGTGTCTTAATAGGGGATCAAATAAAAAATGTTTGTATTAAATAATTGTTTTAGAAGTATTTGATCAAAATGAGTACTAATTCAATATAATCCTCTTGCATGGTTGTTCTTAGATTGAGATATGTCTACACATATGTGTTGGATGTACTGCACACCAATAAATTGAGTTCATCCAATGACTTTTTGAGTTTAGATTGAGTTCAACGAACAACATTTTTTTATATTTGGTTCATTTTAGATGAATTTGATCAAAATGAATCCGGAATCAGGAAACATTTATTGCCAAAAGATGTCATATATACAAGGAATTTGACTTGGCGGTAATACACTATAATAGAATAAAGATAAAGTTAAAAATTAAAAATATTTAAAAAGTTAAATATAAAAAAATAAAGTGCACCAGCGAACAAGTGACAAAGTGACGAGTGACGACTAAGTGACGAGTGACGACAAAGTGACGGGTGAAAAATGACAGTAAAGTGACGTGTGCAGTATGAAAGAAAGTGACCGGTGGAATGTCTCCTGCCAGATGGAAGGGGCACAAACAGGTTTTGTCCGGGGTGAGAGGGGTTGGCTACGATCTTTATAGCTAGCTTCAGAGACCTGGAAGCGAACAAGTCCTGCAGGGACGGCACATTGCAGCCAATCACCCTGCAGAGTGGGTGACACGCTGCCTGCCCTTGTCCTTGGCTGTGGCTGCAGCGTACCAGACGATGATGGAGGAGCAGTGGATGGACTCCATGATGGCCGTGTACAAGTGGACCATCATCGTCTTTGGCAGGTTGAATTTCTTCAGCTGCCTCAGGACGAACAACCTCTGTTGAGCCTTCTTGGTGACTGGAGGTGCAGCTGTTGATGTACAGGGAGACGAGCAGAGGGGAAAGAACGCAGCTTTGGGGGGGAACCGGTGCTGATGGTCCGAGAGGCTGAGACATGTTTCCCCTTCATTCGCTGCTTCCTGTCAGACAGAAAGTCTGTGATCCACTTGCAGGTGGAGTCGGGCATGTGTAGCTGAGAGAGTTTGTCCTGCAGCAGAGACGGGATGATGGTGTTGAAGGCAGAGCTGAAGTCCACAAACAGGATCCTGGCGTAGGTTCCTGGGGAGTCCAGAGGCTGGAGGATGTACCTCTGTACATCCTCCAGCATCCTCCAGGCGATGGGCCTGTAGTCATTGAGTCCTGTGATCCTGGGCTTCTTGGGAACAGGGATGATGGGGGAGGCCTTGAATCAGGCTGGTACGTGCATGTCTCCAGGGAGGTGTTGAAGATGTCAGTGAACACCGAGACAGCTGGTCAGCACAATGCTTCAGGGTGTGAGGGGAGACTGAGTCCGGGCCGGCTGCATTACGGGGGTTTTGTCTTTTAAAGAGCTGTTTAACGTCTCTCTCCAGAATAGAGATGGTCGTTGCTGGTGGGGAAGGGGAAGGTGATATAGATGTAGAGGTGTGAGCCCCTGATGGGCTGGGGGAGGTTGGTGGAGCTGTGGCTGATGGGATCAGGACATTGTCTATCGAATCTGCAGTAGAACTCATTCAACTCGTCTGCCAGGCGAAGGTCATTCATGGAGTGGGGGGGTTTTGGCTTGTAGTTTGTGACGTGTTTGAGGCCTCTCCAAACCGAAGCAGAGTCACTTTCTGAGAACTGTTGATGGAGTTTCTGAGAGTACAGAGTAAAGTCGGACTAAATCAATATAATCCTATTTCATGAATATTCTTAGATTGAGTTATGTCTACACATATGTATTGGATGGAAATCCTGCACACAAATAAATTGAGTTCTTCCAATGACTTATTTTTTTGAGTATATTTTGTTTGGCCTCTGCTCCAAAAATAGCACACTCATGATGAAAAGTGTAATAACTGGAACTTCTTTTTTCCGATTTAACTTTTCCCTCTGTTAACGGCCTGGTATATGCAACTTCAAGTCTGACACCATGTCCCGCCAGCATATGAATAAGGGAATTCCATCCCTGACAATGACAATATACAGTCGACTGCCGTCTTGGTTGCCTCTATCACCCGGGAGGTAGAGGAGAGAGTCAAGGCTGCACTGGTGGACCATCCCGGTCCAAGCACCTCACTGCCTGTTCGTCACTCAGAACTTGTCATCTGGTATCCTCCATGTGGGCCCACAGCTCCAAACAGCCACTGTCCAACAAACATCCCACGATCCTAGCAGTGGTAGAGCAGTTCAGCTTTGCCCAAGCTCCCCTCGGCAAAGACACTGTGGAACTGGTACTGCTGCATATCTTCTGGCTCCATGGTTTCCCTTCTGATGTGGTCTCGTACCAGAGACCTCAGTTCATGTCCGTGCCAGCCTGTCATCAGAATTCCACACTCAATCTAACGGCCAGACTCAGCGCAATAACTAGGAGATGGAAACGTCTCTTAGGTGTCTGGTCATGGTCCCAGCAGCTCCTGTGGGTGGAGTACACCCACAACACCCTAACTAGCTCTGGCACTGGAATGTTCGGCCCTGAAGAAGGAAATTTACTGTCCCTTTGCACAGGTCTTGGTCCGCCGCTCCCGCTGTGCCTGGTCTGATGCTGCCACCCTGCACCAACCCTTCCTGTCCCTCTAGTAAGCTACTAGCCTTCTGATACTGTCTCCGTTTCAAAACGTTCCTAAACTCTGCGCTGTTTTAGGGCTTTGTGAAAACGTATGGTTTTCACACACACAAACTGTGACAAAAGGTGTGTTACTGATTGTCACAGTTTGTGTGTCTGTGTAAAAAAAACATTAAGTAAACACACATTTGATTGTGTCTATACTGCACTAATCTCTCCGTTTCACCTTCACATGTGGCCTTTCCTGTACTTCCCCTCACCTTCTCACCAGCTTTTCCACTTGTTCTCCCTCCTCCTCGGTGTGCCCTGAAGGCCCAGTTCAGCCTGTGGTCCTGCTTTTCCTCCAACTGTAATACATTAGGAGGATTAACATTCCTACAGTAAGCCGCTGCAGTGCAGACCCAACCTAACAAGCTTTTCTGTTCTTTTCCCCGGGCCCTACAGCCTGTGCTGGCTTGCACGTAATTTCCTGTTTGCCTTAGAACTCCCCATCATTGTACTAGTGGACCCCAATATACATGCCACGCAAAGAGATTCTACATATATTTGAGTCTGCACTGCAGGTAAATATACAAGTGGACACACCGCTTGGTTTCTATTCCTACATGTGAGAAAAGCAAACAACCAATCTTTTGCTTGAAGTTTAGGGGGATTTGAATATTTTTTCTTCCATACTGTTGTCATAACCATCATAGATACTGGTCTAATTCAATATTCACCTAATTGTCTTAAAAACAACATAAAATGACCCAAACCAACAATGCATTAGCCTCAACGTGCTGTGCATGTGTCTGTGTGTGTTTCTGTTTTTCTGCATTCCAGCAGGTAAGTTGACAAGTTCCTTAAGGTTTCTTTATTGGGGTTATTTTCCGAGGTGAAGGTCAAGTAATATACTGTCTGACTCCAAACACAGCAGGGAAATTAAGTTCTAGTATTGTAAATGTTACTCAAACGGTAGCAAAAAAGGCCTGGGCCCTGTTCCTCGTACGTGGTTCAACTAAGTCGATCAAATGTCCGATTATCCAGCTCAAATTACCGAGATGATTGACATCTGGCTATCTCGGTTCCTCAAAGGCGGATCGGCGATCAAATTATCTCGTTAGTTTGAACCAGATGTCAATCATCAGGATAATCACGCGTGCGCGTCTTACGTTCGAAGTGTCGATCACCAAAACCAGGATTTTTTAACAGTATAACAGCAAATAAACTTAAAGGAAGAGCGTCTATTTTCTCCGCAGACGAGCAGGAGATGATCATGAACACATATGATGAGACAATGTGTTAATATGAATCATTTCTGTCGGATGAATTTAACGTATTATACATATTTGACGTTGTTCAGTCTGTCCGTCTCAGGGAGGATCGTCTGTGTCTCTCTAAAGGTTTCTTCCCTTTATTCTCCACATCAAATACGTTTTCATTCTTTGGGGAGTTTTTCCTGTGTAGATGTGAGGGTTTCTGGACAGAGGATGTCACATGTGTACAGATTGTAAAGACCTTTGAGGATTATTTGCGATACAAAATAAAATTAAATGAATCATATAATCATGGCAAAAACTGACACCGCCCCCCTGAGGGTACAAGCCGGACAAAGTTTTGCAGACAAGTTAACGTTAAATGCGTGTTGGTAAAATGTATAGGCTCATTTAAGTGCCTTGTCACTCTAATCCATCAGATTATATTTAAGGAGGTTTAAGAATAATGACAACAATGATCTCAACTCTTTCAGAGAATGTAGATGAAAACAAGCCCAAAGAATCTAATTGATACGAATGAATAGAATCTATGTACTGTATCAGCTTATGTATCATATGTATGTGTAGATGACCATATAGAACTAGGAGTTTTAGAATTACAATAGAATATTAATAAAGCTGCTGTATGCAGAGCCATGAGAAAAGTGTGTCGCTCTGAAACGTCTTTTAAATGTTTTTGTTCCCTGGACACAAACCAGTGAAGCCATTAAAGAGGAGTTGCACAGGATGCACCTGAATAAACTATATATCAACACTCATCTTGTCACACTAAGGACACTGTTGTCAAACATTTAATATCCATAATATCCATAACTGAATAATTACCTTCAGCTCGTCATCACAGTCAGAGAGCTTTATTTTCCCTCCAGATATCATGTGAATCCTTACTTATGTAGACCATAAGCAGGGAGCCACTGTGGCATTGAAGGGTTTTATACATGTGAATATTATGATTGTTGTGATCTAAATCCAACCAGTTTGCAAAAAAAGAGAGCAGAAACTTTTCACACATACAAAGACTCCCACCAGCTGTAGCTGAAGCTCTTGTCTAAAAGCTCTCCCAGACACCTCTAATTGGAAGGTATTTATCCAGGAGCCCAGGAGAGCAGAGTGCATGCAGGGCTGTTTTCACATGGGATTAACCCAGGTCCAAATCCCAACACACTTCACAGAAAAGACCTCAACCCTCTCACTGCATCATCTGGCAAAAATTGACCCCCGTTGGCCTCCGCTGGTCTGTTTACTCAATCTAACCGTTCTGTGTTTCAGAGCTGCCAGTCTTCTGGACGATGATGCTAAAAAAGAAAATGACATGATAGCACATAAACTTTAGGACAGATATCCCAATACCACGAAGCAACCAGCATTTTGCATCACATCCTTTGTGGCGTTAGGTTCACAAACACAAACTGCATCATTTTGACCGTTTCTCTACAGAATCTGTTGCTCCAAGAATGGATTTCAATGTTCTAAATATAAACAGGACATTCTAAAACGTATTCCAAACATGGAAATCGCGGTTCTAAGAACCATGTAGAGACATGCAATTTGAAAGTGTAATATACACAATATCACACTCAAAACTGTAAGCAGTCTGGTGTGTCCTGACCAGAGCCCCATCCCCGGAGTAACATACACTGATCATTGGCTGCTCAGAGAACATGCTTTGAACACTACGAAAGGGCTTAATGTAACACTTTACGGTCATGCACTGAACACAGCTTTTGCACATTTTGTGCTATTTGTAGTCGAGAAAGAGAAGTGAAGATCAAACATAATGGTTAATACTTGATAAAACAGAATTCAGCCATACAGTCAGTGCTCCTAAGTGGCGACAACATGAAATTACCAACTACGTTGGGTAGTCACGACCAATTGAAAAAAAGACAAAGATGAAGACATCGGTGACAGGGATCTGATTTCAAGTGAAGTGTAACAGGGTTCACTAATGATACTGATGCATACTGCTACTCTTTAACGCCATCTATTGGACACACAGTTGACAAAGGGACAAATAGAACATTCAGGGGAACCCTTTTATGAAATCCCCATATTTACCATTCATAGGCAGCATCCACCATGTCAAGGATGGTTTTAACACACTGTAATTCGCAATTGTTTGTATAAGTGTCCATTAAAAATGATAGATGTATCTGTGAAAATCCACATTAATAATGATTTAGTAAAACAGTTAAAATACAATATATAAAACGTTAATTTATGGAAGAGGTTGATGACTATTGGATATTCTACATCACTAAACCCAAAGGATGCACATATTTAGTTATAACTACTTGATGGTTTGTTATAAACAACAAACTAGATGGGGGGGACTGACCCAGTTTATTGGATCTTAGGAGGACAGTCTACCTATTGCTTTGTGGACCAACACTGATCATAAAGTAATGAGTCTTTCTATTTATATTTCCTGCCATCATCTCATGGCACAGCAGTTTTAGAGGTGTGATAAAGAAATATTGAGTATATTTGATACGATGGCCTTTTAGTGGTATTTATTGTTTTTTTCCTTAATAGTTATATTTTTAGCATGTTAATGCCCTGCTTGTACTACAGTTTAAGTCACTAAAGTGTAAAAGCCAGATCAGTTTTTTTTATTTATTTGAATTTATTTTTTCGAACATGTATAAAAGGGAAAACAAATACAAATTATTAAAAAAAAAATAGAACAACAAAGAGCTAAGACACAACAGAAAAAAAACAGAGTGGGAAGAAGCATGACACTTATCAGTTCAATAATCTGTGGACTGCAATGAGGAGGAATGCAATTAGCTGTAGTATGGCTCAAAGACACTTCAGCAGCACTAACATGGCTTTCTTTCTCTTTTAAAGTTATAAATCTTTGAGCCAAAGAAGAAGTCATTGATCATGTCTCTCTACTAAAAATATGCATATCGTTGAGGAGCTTTTTCTAGTAAGTACAGAGTGTTCTCTGAGCGCTTTCCTCAAATCATGGTGAGTTGCTTTGGTAAACTAAGCTGTGTTGAACCCCACAAAAGATTGTGGAGCAGCTGCTGATACAGAATAGACCTGCGATTATGTAATTCTGCTGACTGATATCTACATGCAAAAGTGTTTTTCTCCAGATCGGAAGAAGATATGTGTATGAAGCACACATTGAACTGTGAGTGACCTCTTCTTTAACCTTCTCTTCTCACATGTCGGTTAATCTGTCAGCTGTGTGTTTCCCACTACGTGGCAAAGCAGTGTGCTTAAGTAGTGCTGCGTTTAGGTGCTTCACTACCTTTCTTGTCAGGCCACATGGTAAGTACACCGTTTCATCCCGTCCATGTCTTTGTTCCAAGATTTTACAACCAAACATTCTCATAACATCCACAGGTGGATTCTGCTCTGCTTCCTCACCGGCACTTCATATGGTGAGTTCACTTTCATTTCTGGATTCACTTTCACAACGATGACAACCAAGCAAGCAACAGAGTGAAGGTGGTATGTCATTGTTCTTTACTTTGATTGACATCGTCTACAGCAGCGATTCCCAAAGTGTGGGCCGCGGCCCCCTGGTGGGCCGCGAAAGTACTGCAGGTGGGCCGCGAGAGGTCATTTACAATAAATAAATAAAGTTTTTTAATTTTCAATTTTTTTAAGTTTGAAATTAATATAAAAATATTTATGATGCGGCACATTAGTTATGTGAAACATTAGTTGATGAAGCATAAAACTATTTAAACGGACAGATTAATGAAACAATAAGGCTCTTGCTCGAAACGGCTGCTCTTGTCCGCCTGTCGTTCAACAAACGGGGCGCCCTCTTGTAGTATTAAAGTAAATATACCGCATTTTCCGCACTCCAAGGTGCACTTAAAATGCTTTAATTTTCTCAAAACGACAGTGCCTTATAATCCGAAGCGCCTTATATATATGGATCAATTGGTTAATCGGTTGATCCATACTGGTTGTACACGGCGCTCAAGGCACTCTGCCAAACATGCCAAAGCTCAGTCTACGACGGCGAGATGCTGAGCGGCGCTCAAGCACGTGAGATATGGAGCTTTTTTCAGGGCGCGTCGGAGAAACAAAGCTGTCATTCTCGCCGAGCACTTGCGATAAAAGAGCGAGAGACGGCGTCCTTTTCTTTACAGTAGCTGAACCATTTTAACGGGGATTATTTTTTTGTTTTTTTAGTTATTCCAAAAGCAGCCGAAGATTTAAGGCCATCAATCATTTAATCATTATGTTTTGATCAGAGTTGTGATTAAAGGTTTGGGTGGGTCGCGAAAGATTTTCAGATTTCAAAGTGGGCCGCAGCATTCTTGAGTTTGGGAACCGCTGGTCTACAGGTTTCCTCTCTTTCTCTTTAAGCTTTACTTGATCTGATAGAATCAAAAACTGTATATCCGCTTGTTTCAGCTCTTCTCAAAGAGATGCACTCTGGCCTTTTGGGGCCCTGTTGACACCAAGCTGACGATGGCGATGTGACGATGTGTTCGCTCTAAATACTTTAGTTTACCATAAACTCACACAGGACAAATTTGTTTCAGAATATGCATAAAAGTGTGAAATGACAAGAGATACTATTCTATTCATGTTCTTTTACTTTCAATAATGATGTTAGAATAGTCATCACCATCATTCAGACTCAAAATGTTTATTCATATTTACATGTGAAAGAGTTTGAATTACATGATTCAAATTCATGATTCAAAGTTGCTGCATTTGATGTTGAACTAGCAAATGCATTTCCAAGCGTAAGAAAGAAATATGCTTCTGGAAATTGTGCCTTAAATTGTAACAAATGTGTGTTTCAGGTTTTGCTGAAGTGGAACAATGAGAACTGTGTGGTTGTGGAGTGGAAGAAAAGTGTGAAGACTCAGTATGCCCCGGCTGCCAATAACGCAAGGCTGGTGACTGCCCAGGTGGCATTCATGCTCACATTCCTCATGGTAGATATATGGTATTATTAACTGTCCCGGGCATAATGTCTTTATTCCTACACATCAGCATCCCTTCTCAAGGGGAGGGAAATATCCTTGTGGTGGTCTGATTCCTTCTACAGCAATACTCCAGGCTGGATTTTACTGTTGATCAGTTTTCTATCTTCTTAATGGACACAGTGCAATAGAACTGATAACTATTCCATCTGACTCCAAGTAAAGGCTTTTAGGGTGCGTGACGGATAAACAACTTGAAAATGTAAAATACTCGCCATATTTCTATGAATTTTACTGTGTAAGTCAAGAACAGAAGGAGTGGGATATCTTTGTCAAGTTTGACATAAGTCATCCTGTTTACTGTCTTGTTTGACCATGTTGTTGTTGTTTCATTACTATGTGAGGCCTTAACCCTATTTAAAAGGGGATAGAAACAAAAATAACAGTTTTAAAAAATATATTATGGTGCAATTAAATCACACAGAAGAAAACACCCCATGTGTGTAGAGGCCTAAAGACAGCGAATAAAACAATTTGCATAATTATTAGCAACTGTGCCTCAGGGAAGGCATGATCATTGCTCAATCAGCTAATTGGCAGTTTAATCCCTTCCTCCGCAAGTCCGCAAGACACTTAACCCCAAATAGCTCCTGACACTGTGGCTACGGTGTGTGAATATTAGCTACTGATGGGCAGGTGTCACTGTGAATAGTTCCTTCCATCAGTGTATGAATGGGTGTGAATGGATGAATGATATGTTACATGTTAGAGAGAGCGAGTGGAAGAAAGACTAGAAAAGAGATATAAAAGTACATTTACTATTTACAATGAAACTTAGTGAGTTGATTACTAAAATAAAAACAATGGCTAGGTATGAATATACAAATGAGGCCTTTTCTAGATATGTATTTATTTAATGCATTTCTGAAAAATAAATGTGGATGAAGAAAGTTTAGAAATTATTGTTTCAATGAGTGGAATCAGCTTTTATTGGTTTGCAGTTGTGCCCATAATATCGCATTTAAAAGATGTTATTGTCTCAAGTTCTGTCAGGAAGGTACGTAGGGGAAGGTAGGACTCAAACGCAGCGAAAACGGAGACAGGAAACAGAAACAGAAACAGAAACAGAAACAGGGACTTGGACTTGGACTTGGACTTGGACTTGGACTTGGACTTGGACTTGGACTTGGACTTCCGTACATTCAACAATGACGCGACGAGGGTGGCAAAAACGACACTGGGACCGGGAAAAAAACTCTCCATGAAAGTCCTTGAAAGGTTTTTCAAAACAAAAAGGGACTTTAATAGTCAAAATATTCAAAAGCAAAAAGGCCAAGGGGCAAAAACTGAGACAGGAAACATGGACAGGGACTTTCGTACATTCAACAATGACGTGACAAGGGACAAGAGACACACATGGCTTAAATACACTAGGGAGGTTCAGGTGATTGGACACAGGTGGAAACAATCATGACACAACAGACATATACATGTATTGTATATTTCAATTCCCCATCTGATTTTTTTAAAAATGTTGTATACTTTTTTGTTTATTGTCTTTATGAAATGCTGGTCTTATCTCAAAAAGTAATATCTATACAAATCTCTATACAAAACATTTCTGTCAGGATTGAGACAGACTCAGTCATGTTGACTACTTGGGTTTGCTTTTATTGTTTTGCAGTTGTGCCCATAATATCACATTTAAAAGATGTTATTGTCTCAAGTTCAGTGAACATAACTTACTTTAACGTTTTACAAATGCATGAGATCATTCAACTAGTAGCTCATGTTAAAGGCAGCAGACACACAGCATTACAAAATGAGCAAACAGTTGAATCATCACCTCTCAAAAAAGTTCCTTAAAGTGAGAATTTATTGCAGGTTAAGTGAATTTTCATATGCTATTTTCATATGCTCCTCATACTATACCTTTAGTGGTCTCAGTCTAAAGAATTCATCCCAGGCACACTTCATATACGTAACGCAATCCTATCTCAACAATGCAGCCTACACTGCAGAGCCCCAAGTGGAATATTGGAGTTATCCCAATGGAAAAATTGTAAAGAAACCCCAGGCAGAGTTATTTGCGCTGGATCTCTCTTGGCAAATATGTTCTAATATGGATGACGAGAGCCTTCCTTTGACATGTGCCGCTAAGTAGCAAGCTCAAGTAGCAGCATTGGTGCCATGCCTGGGTCTGGATCTGAAGGGGGGTGTTGTTGGCACAGCTGAATCTGCTACTTTTGATCCTATAGATAAGAGGGGGGAGTGAGAGCCAAGGCTGCATAGCTGGAGGTCTTAGATAGTCTGGTGTTTGCCCTGTGGTGGGGGAGAAAACAACAGTCCTTCTCCCTGTCACACATTCTCATACTCTGACTCTAAGATTCCAATGTGATCTCATCCCTACTCTCTCCAGCAGAAGCATCCATGCTGACTTTTGTTAACTTTGGTGTATAATTTTAACAGAGAATGTTTGTGCATGGTTAACATATTAAAAAAAAGGTTAACGTGAAACTGTTACGGCTAGGTTTAAAAGACAAAATGACTTGGTTAGTGTTAAAAAAGCAAACAACTGGTGGTGTTGGTTCAACTAAGTTGGTGCATTACTTCCCTATATGGATGTATATGTACGTCAGTAGCAATAACTCAACTTTTGGTACCACATGGGACATGGAAGACAGTGTCTTGAGTGAAAGTCCCATGCATGTTTGACCCATACACATGTAATTGCATTCAAATTCAAAGAAGCAGGAAGGTAGAATTAAAAGCCTTTCAGCAAAAAAAAACCCAAATCATTCTCATCATACCAAGCTAAACCCGAAATTCCAGATTTAAATTTCCATTCACAATTTGTTACATATTCCTCACCACATTTCCCTGTTTTAATGCCTTGTCTTTTTCTCTTTTTCCCTGCAAACCATTTTGCCAGGTACCAAAAAGTTTGATGACTGCAATCACGTTCGAGCCTACGAATACTACAACGAGAGCATGGTTAAAAGTCTAGGCTTTGTGGGATTCCACTGCTCTGACTCGGAACGTTTTGCTGCAGTAAGTCTTTGGTACAGCTAGTGTTAAAATAGCTTGTTTTTTTGCAAGCTTTACTTATTAAGTATTTAAATATTCTATAGATGAAATATTTTCTGTGGTTGTTGCAGGTTCAAACATTTTTTTTTAATTGAATAGGATCAAACTACAGCCATATAATATGAATCCATGTCAAAAGTATAACAAAATCCATTCCTAATCAAATATGACTTTTATTTAGTACAGAAGTAACATCAACAAAAATACTAACTAACTAATCTTAGAATTGTATAATTGAAGCTAATTGCCGTAATCTAACACGCCTGTGTATCCCTGTAAATACCTCCCTAACCCTTTCCCGGCCCATTGACGCACTCCAAACCCCATCCACCCGTTTTTTGTTCCTTTCTCCCTCCTCTGTCACAGTTTGGGTTTATTTCCTGCTTTACTTTGTAGTTTCCTGCCTCTTGTCCCTGGGTTAACTTCACTTCCTTGTCCTGTCATCCCCTGTGATTGTCTGCAGTGTCTCTGATTGTTTCCACCTGTGTCCAATCACCTACACCTTCCCAGTGTATTTAAGCCATGTGTGTCTTTTGTCCTTTGTTGCGTCATTGAATGTTTTGCCTGTAAGTTCTTGGTCCCCGTCTGCGGTTTGCCCCTTGGCAGTTTGATTTCGTTAATGAAGTAGTTTTTGTGTTGGAAATCTACTTTTGGGTCCTGCCTCTGCATACCCTGTTGTGACGGCTTCATAGTTGCGTAGTGACTACATGCGGGCCTACTTTCAGAGCAATGTTACGTAACGTTTGTTGGTTACATTCTGTAACCAGCCAGACACAACAACACAAATAAAGCGCTTGATTGCTAGCTTCTGATCGGTTAGTTTATTTAAGAAATCCTGTCTCATTACTGACCGCTAACCATGTCATATCATAGTCCAAAAGAACAGGGTTACCTGAAATGGGATTGGCCAACACAGCCAACATGAAAGCTTCCAGTTCGGTTTCTGGTTTGTCAGTTCACTAGTTGAGAAACTGTGTCTGAAAGATCTCACCTCAAATAGAGATTCCCCTAACTGCAGCAATTCCACCTTTAATTATTGATTTCATTAGTTCATAGTTCAAATCAGTTAGTGTTGCAGCACAGAAATTACAGTTACAGTAACATGAAGAGTTATAAACTCGGATTTGCAGATAAAAATAGTGTTAAGAGGAACTTTAATGATCCAAGCAAAGCTTCTGGTGGTAACAGCCACAGACAAGGGATCAGGGAGGCATCTTATGGCCTCGATTCAGAAAGTGACTCAGAAGGAGAAGGGGGCCAAATCTCCACCAGCCCAGCATGTGTAGGGGACTGCCACCTGTTGCTGTATGACATTGATATGGCTGTGAACCATTTTGGGGGTTTTAGAAGTTGATTCAGCAAGATTGGATTTTTGTTGCAGCTGAAGGGGCACTGTAAATGAGCTTCCTTCATGTCTTCCAATTGGAGAGCTTGTATCTGCAGCTGTTGGTGTTACTTACAGTTTATCCCTTCTTTAAACACATGTCCTGATCAAAGGAGGCTGGGGGAGTGCCGAGCATGACCCCATATGACAGCACCTCCTTGTTGTTCACCTCGTAAACGCTCTATGGTGTTATTTCTGCAACCATAGCTGACAGTAACAAAAAAGCCTGTTCCCTCACTGTCACAACCAGCTACATTCTCCACTTTCATATTTATTAGGTGGCAATCTTCAACACAGTAAAAGGAGTGTAGGGGAACTTCTTTTTAATGTTGTCACTTTTCCTTCACTATTCCATGACACACCATCATTCTTCACACTTCACCATGTCCTTGTCCCCGCAGGGAAAGTGTTTCCCATGTGCAGACAACAAATGTCCTCTGATGGGCCATTATGCTGACAGGCACACTGTGATTGATGGCATTTCACAGAAGTACTTTCTTAACACGGGAAGTTCAACGCCCTTTGGCCGTAAGTACCCATCACTTCCCTTTAACCGTGAATACAGGTTGAAAGCACTTGCTGGTTGATTGATTTCTTCTGTGAGAAGCATTTTCAAATGAATAAAATGTCAAAATAGATGTCTATATAATATAATACAAAAGTATTTGTTCCCTCAAATAAAATTGAATGAAATTAAACTGGGATTTTATTTCAAAATAGAGCTGCGTTCAAAATAGATGTTTACAATCTGCCATAAAACAAATCGAAGAAATGTTGAAGCTCTTCTTGGAAAGCAAAAGCCCCTCTAATTCAGCTACAGATCTACAAAGAATCAGCTAGCTAAGAGGTAGAATTTTGGTTTGTCAGTTACAACTACAAATCAGAGGCTGCGTTATTAAACAATGTGTAGGTACATTTAGTCGTATGATTTGTCCCGTTAATTAGGCTTGGTTCTGCTTGTTCTGCAATGCTTTCTTTCCACCAGAACTTGGAGAAGCCATCTATGGGGAAAAGAAAACAGCTGGGGCGGTCCAGGGTGTGCCCTTCCTGGGGCAAAAAGGCTGCTGTAAAAGCACAATTTTGTTTACCTCTGGCAAGATTCTTTTTTTTAATACACTGATCTGAATAATGGCAAATTTGAACAAGGGGGTCCGTGGCTCAGTAGTAGATCCATCAATCAGAGTTGCCAGTTTCTTTTCTGGCCAGGCCATGCCAATGGGTCCTTGAATGTATGAATGAGTTTTTTTATGAATGTAAGAAACTGCCCCCATTATGTCCAGGAAGCTTCTCGTTCGTGGCACACAGTCTCCATAGTTCCATATTTATGACATTTTATGCGCTGAAATTAGGCCCTTGTGTAAACCACGTTTTACCAACCAGTGTAAAATGTTTTTGCAGAATTACATAACAGTAATCAATGTTGTCTCTCTTTGAACCGTGCCAATTATTAAAAAAATTCCAAAGAATTGGTATATTGTCACATGTCAATGTTGTTCCATACACATAAAGTAATCCAATTCACACAGTGAAACAACCTGCTTTTTAATTAAATACTGATGTCTGTTCGATGCTCTGAAGGTAGCAGGCAGACTCCAGGTGTCTTTTCCCTGTGTTCTTTGATAATCCCCACCAATGGAATATGATGCATGTATGAAGATGTTCTGACACGATGGGGAAATAAATAAAACACAGTGTAACTACTATTCTTTCCGTCTCTAGGTTACAGCTACAGAATGAAGGTAAACCTGGATGGTCCCAGCTGGTCTAACCCAGGCATCGTGTATGTGGCATTGGCTGGAGACACTGACTGCACAAAGGAGTACACGCTTCATGTGTAAAAACATTACAACACATTTCTGTTGTTGGGACCTTGAACAACTATACTGTCTCTTACCATGTGACTGTTGCCAAAATGATTTACGGAATGCCGTTTTTTACAGCTCAACCAGTGGAGCACCTTTCACTGAATGTTTTTGTTAGAAAAATTAATACTCGACACCGGTGTAGAATCATAAAAAACAAAACATTTAATGTTTGCAACAGGAGACAGAGTTGACACACATACAACTCATGCGCCAAGCCTACTCAAAGGTGTTCTTTTCCAGCCACAACATATATACTGGGATAAGGTATGATAAACAGGAAGGTTTTGTGGACGCACAATGATCTCATTGTACAAGGACCGTTATGTTCTTTATCCTGAGACATACATCTGATCATCATGAGATACGGACTGACCTTCTGGACACCGGACATACACGTCACACAGATTTCATATCCTGTGCGGTCATCTTATCTCAGCTGACATGTCACCCAACACTCCAACTTATTGTTCAAGTGATACAGACCTACTCCTGTTTTATCTAAACCCCCCTTCTAGACATGATATTATTTGCAGTTTGTCAACAGTTTTTCTTTGGCATGGCAAGAGCACAGGGGGTGGATATAACACATTTGATTATTTTACTTCGGTTAAAACACATTAATATATACTGAGTCAGAAGTGTTGTTGTTGTTATTTCACATCGAAGAAGCACTCGTGCCATAAAAACAAACTTGATGCACGGCTCAGGATCAACTCTTGGACCAGAACACTGACATTCAATTCAATTCAATTAATTTAATTTTGTATAGCTCAAAATTGCTAATTACAAATTTGCCTCAGAGGGCTTTACAGTCTGTACACATACGACATCCTCTGTCCCGAAACCCACCATCGGCACAGGAAAAACTCCCCAAAAAATGAAAAAACCCTTCCAAGAGGGAAAAAAAGAGAAGAAACCTTAGGGAGAACATCAGAGGAGGGATCCCACTCCCGGGATGGACAGACTACAATGGATGCCATGTGTACAGAATGAACAATGTATAATACATGCAATTCCTATGAAAGAAATGATTCAAGTATTTGTGAGTAGTAAGCCAGGCGCACAGCAGGACCACTGCAGGGGCAACCACCATCAGATGGAACCACCATCCACAGAAGCCTGTGGGGAGGGAGAGCACAAAGACTTCAGGAGAGGGTAATGTTGGTTTACGAGTACAGTAATATGATTAATATTTAAAATAATAATGATGATGATGTCAGCAGGGCCACGGCAGGTGTCAGGACCATGGGTCCAGAAGGAACTACAATCTACGGTGATCTGCTTCCTTACAAAAACAAAACAAAATGATATTTCATTTCATATTTCATTCACTATTTCATGGCTTGTGACACCTTAAATGAATGTATACATCAAAGAAATGAATCGAAAATGATTCAATAGTTTTTTTGCGTAATGCCAAGTGCAAAAGGGGTGACTGGGGGTGAGTGGAGAGCCGGTCGTCCTCCAATCAGAGGATTGAGAGTTCAACCTGTGTCGATGCGTCCTTGGGAAAGACACTTAAGCCCAACATTGCTCCTGTAACTGTGACTATGGTGTGTGAATGGTGTAAATGTTATGGCCAAGGTGGCACTGTGTGTGGTGGCTGCTGTCATCAGTGTGTGAATAGGTGAATGATGGCATGAAGTGTTGGAAGAGCATTCAGTGGTCGACAAGACTCGAAAAGAGATATACAAGTACAGGTTGTGAATACAAGTACAGGTTGTGAAAACAAGTACCATTTCCCAGTCATTTCAGAATACAATACAAAGCTATATTTATTTACCATTGTATGAGACTGTTACAGATTTAGGAATCAACCCTGGCTTCGACATTAGACCACAAATCCTTTTCTGCATCACTCCTTATTTCCTCTTGTGAATGTACAGTGCATCCGGAAAGTATTCACAGCGCTTCACTTTTTCCACATTTGTTATGTCACAGCCTTATTCCAAAATGGATTAAATTCATTATTTTCCTCAACATTCTACACACAACCCATAATGACAAAGTGAAAACTGTTTTTTGCAATTCTGTTAAAAATAAAGAACATAACTAGACACATAGCTTAAGGTGATTCATTAGATACAAAGGATCTTCATACTGTGTTTCAAAAAGTTACTCCTAACTTCTTTTCACATAGATGCTAAAAATGCGCTTGGTGGGTTGTATCAAAACGCAGAGGTCCCTCGCAGTCTTCTTCAGATACGTGCAGAGAGACAGAGGGGCACATCTTATCATGTTGCTGCTGATCAAACATTATAGAGAAATTATTACATTACATCACATGCCATTTAGCTTACGCGTTTATCCAAAGCGACGTACGATAATTTCAACCATAAGGATACAAACTCAAAAGCACAAGAAACAAGGGGAAATGGAGAGTAAGGCGGCAGGAAAAGTGACCCCATTCTGGGATGACCTATAGAGCCAGATGAAAGAGATACGTAGCATACATTAAATTATTTTATGTCTTTTCTAACTTGCCCACAAAAGCTGAGGACTGAAGACAATGCCCATGGGATATGTGGCAAGGAGCACCTGACTGACAGAGGGCTCCGATGCAATCGCTTACATCCCAGAAGTTCCACAACATTGCCTGCGCCTCGGTTATTCCTTTTTGCACTCATCACATTGAGGAAAAACAATACAAAATATGTAATATGTAAAGCCAACGTACGTTGTACACAGCTCTCCATATTGTAGTGGAAACAAATGTCTTTAAAGCATGTTTATTGCTGCAGCATGTGGAATGGGTCTGTTTACAATGGTGCTGCCCAGATTGTCTCTTCACTAATGTGTTGTGACAGGGGGATCGTGACTCCTGGAAGGACCTATGAGATGCTGATAGACACCGAGGTGGACGTGGGGGATGTGACAGAGGTGACGTTTCAGTGGAACAACCCCACAATCTTCAACCCCATGAATCCCAAGTATGGGGCATCCATGGTGGAGCTGCAGAGTAAAATACAAGAAGATGTAAGTTAGATGTTTCTTTAATTACAGGTACAAACTGGGCGAGGAACTGTTCTCAGTATGATGCATCATTTATGGATTTTTTTCTTTTAATTGTTTTTGTTTCATCTGAGATGTTTTCCTTTTAAAATACAGTAACAAATTTATAAAGTCAGGATGATTATACTAAATGGTAATATAAGTCAACGGTAAACGTATTTTTCGGTCAAACTGTAAGAAAGCAGAGGTTTATAAAACAACAAAAATCCATAGCCCCAAAGATTTTAACCATGAGTTAAAATCTTTGAAAATATTTCTGTGTTCAAGTATGTGTGTGTGTGTGTGTGTGTGTGTGTGTGTGTGGCGGTTCTCTTTTTTGACCGCGGGTGTTTTGTCAATCTTTTGTTGTTTAGGATCCTGTAACAATAATAATGAAAATACATTTCTTTGGGTTATTAAAAGCTAATGTGTATAAATGTTTTCAAATTGTATTACTTGAGAAATAATCATACATTATTGTAATATTTTCAGTGTTTCCCCTACCATTATATTGGAGCGTCCCCCCCCCAAACCTGAAATGTAGGGGAAATACAGAATTTCACGCGTTATTTTTAAATTTATTTCCGATGCACAGACTTTGTAGGAACAAATAGGCTCACTTTATTAGGTAGACCTGCATCTACAGGCCAATGTAGGCTAAAACAGTTCTCCCAAAATGTATTTTCTGATGACTATAATGTTTTCCTTTTTGTTGAAATCAGTCTTAGTTCCATTCTTTTTTTATCTGTTGGGTCACACTGTTGTCCACCATTAAGCCTCTTTGTCTATATACTTTAATATAGAATTGCAGTAATCTAGTCTATATGTAACAAACAAATTACAGTTGTGGTCAAAGTTAACATACACTTGTAAAGAACATAATGTCATGGCACTCTTGAGTGCTTGGAACATACGTCTTTGTCACAAAAACCATTTATGAAGTTTGGTTCTTTTATGAATTTATTATGGGTCAATAGAAAAAGTGATTAAATATGCTGGGTCAAAAATATACAAACAGCAGTGCTAAAATTTGGTTACATGTCCCTTGGCCATTTTCACTTCAATTAGGCACGTTTGGTAGCCATCCACAAGTTTCTGGCAAGCTTCTCGTTGAATCTTTGACCACTCCGCTTGACAGAATTGGTGCAGTTCAGTTAAATTTGACGGCTTTCTGACATGGACTTGTTTCTACAGCATTGTCCACATGTTCTCAATGGGATTTAAGTCAGGACTTTGGGAAGGCCATTCTAAAACCCTAATTCTAGCCTGATTTAGCCATTCTATTACCACTTGATGTCTGTTTGGGGTCATTGTCCTGTTGGAACAGCCAACTGCGCTCAAGACCCAACCGTCGGGCTGATGATTTTAGGTTATCTTGAAGCATTTGAAGGCAATCCTCCTTCTTCATTATCCCATTTACTCTCTGTAAAGCACCAGTTCCATTGGCAGCAAATCTGCCCCACAGCATAATACTACCTCCACCGCGCTTGACGGTAGGCTTGGTGTTCTTGGGGTTAAAGGCCTCACCTTTTCTCCTCCAAACATATTGCTGGGCATTGTTGCCAAACAGCTGGATTTTGGTTTCGTCTGACCACAGAACTTTCCTCCAGAAGGTCTTATCTTTGTCCATGTGATCAGCAGCAAACTTCAGTCGAGCCTTACGGTGCTGCTTTTGGAGCAAAGGCTTCCTTCTTGCACGGCAGCCTCTCTGTCCATGGAGATGCAAAACACGCTTGTCTGTGGACACTGACACCTGTGTTCCAGCAGCTTCTAATTCTTGGCAGATCTGTTCTTTGGTGGTTCTCGGTTGACTCTTCACCCTCCTGACCAATTTTCTCTCAGCAGCAGGTGATAGCTTGCGTTTTCTTCCTGATGGTGGCAGTGACAAAACAGTGCCATGCACTTTATACTTACAAACAATTGTTTGCACTGTTGCTCTTGGGACCTGCATCTGCTTTGAAATGGCTCCAAGTGCCTTTCCTGACTTGTTCAAGTCAATTATTCGCTTTTTCAGATCCATGCTGAACTCCTTTGATCCAATGAGCCCTATTTAACTGCCCTCAGAGAAGTCACCAGCTGTAGTCACTCACAAGAAGTCAAGAGGCTACGAAGCTCATTTCATTAACACAACTTTCTAAGTCACCAAAATTGATGATTTGTGTTGCTGTATGTATATTTTTGACCCAGCAGATTTTGTCACTTTTTCTGTTAACCTATAAAAGTCATAAAAGAACCAAACTTTATGAATGTTTTTTGTGACAAAGAAGTATCTGTTCCAATCACTCTATCAGAGAAAACTCGTAGTTGTAGAAATAACTGGAAACTAAAGAGAGCCACGACATGATGTTCTTTACAAGTGTATGTAAACTTTTGACCACAACTGTAACTCATTTCCAGCATCACTTTGAGACAAAGTACATGCTTTTGAATGTTCAAGTTTTGATGTCCCCGAGACATTAACAAGTCCAACAAGCTGGCTGGTCTCGTTTGGCTTGATTGATAGATACTGGGAAAGAACTGTGATCGATCCAATATGTAACTTAAACTTAAAGTGGGTCGTCGTGGCGCAGGGGTTAGAGAAGGTGTGCTGGGAAGCACAAGGTTGGTGGTTTGAGTCCAGGCTGCCCCATGTTCCATGTCGAAGTGTCCCTGCGCAAGACACCTAACCCCTAATTGCTCCACGGGCACAAATGTGAAAAGGCCATGGGTTTAAAGTGTAATGTAAGTCGCTTTTGTCTGCTAAATGACCTGTAATGTAATGTAAACCAGTGGGTCCTTTAAGACCAATCAAACCTTCTAGTCTCTGCAAACAAGATGCAATGATCAATGGGGCACTGAGGTCCAGCAAGACAAGAACAGAGACAAGTTCTCTGTCCGATGCAAGTTGTAGATCCTTCGTAAATTTCACTAGTGCTGTTTCTGTGCTATGATGAGCTGAAAAATCCTCAAACAAACCATTGTTATGTAGAAAATCACACAACTGATTTGCCTTTTCCTTAAGGATCTGAGGGAGGAAGGGAAGAGAAGAACACCACTGTAGTTAGCCAACACCTCTGGAGCAAGAGGTTTCGTTACAGCTATCTTGAAGGACTGTGGTACATGTCCTTTCAACAAAGACAGATTCATGAAATCCGTGCTCAAAAATAACCGTGATAAAGACGTGCTGGCTGAAGGTTAAAACTTCCTTTAAGCATCCGAGTAGCCTATAGGATCCAAGAGACAAGTCGACGGTTTAGACTTAAAGTGATTTCTTTTCAGGCGATTATCAAAATTCAAAGAGGTTTATTATTGTAGCCTCTAGAGGGCAGCAGGAGACTGCCGTAGCGCCCTCTGAGGCTCAGAGTGGGGTGATTTGGTAAGCACATACATTTCCTTTTACATTACATTACATTACATTAATGTACACTTTTACTTTCATACCATTTATAATCCACCTATTAATAGCAATAAAAAAGGAACATTCTAGTGAAGTAAAATACTCAGCACATGCTGATCTCAATTTGAGATGATTTTTTTTTAATTATTTAGGCTAAAACATTTTGGCGTGTCAAGCAAAATCGATTTCTATTAATCAGGGAAAATGTATTCCTCAGTATTAATGTGAATAAATGTATTATTGTGTGCACTAACCCTAACCCATAACCCACACATGAATTAATATTGTTTTCTTCTAAACGGTTGTTTTTCTTTCTCAGCTTCTTTTGTGGAACTGAGAATGTCGAGGAGAATAGGATCCAGCAAGTGCTTCCATGCTTCAGCCGCAGCCAACCTTTTACATGCTTTTTTAATAAAGATTTTGCATTCAGACCTCTGAGCTCCTTAATTTGGCCCTATGTGCTTTGCAGGATGTAATAGCTTATGCATGTCAGACATGGAAGGGAGAAAGGACAGAGGACTTTCCTACAGCATCTTTGCATTGAGATAATAACTATAAAAGGAGGATGTGTTTAGGGCCACAGGTTCTGGTGTAAATGTGCAAATGGTTATTATAATTTGTACTGCAAAAACTACCATTAAAGAGATACGAAACCACCTCCCCCAATAAACAAGACTCCCCCACAAAGAGATGCAAGAACACCATAGTTACTCCCACTTCAACAGGCTCAACCAGAGCCGTTGTTCGAGGGATACTTCAGGTGTCCAACAGTTAGCTTCTCTTATTTTCCTCTCTTATCTCAACGCTAACTGTTCCTCACGGCCTGTCAGGATAAGGACATCATATTTACGCTTACTGATGTTGAGAGACATCGTGCTCCATTTGTGTGAACACAAATCAATAAGTGACATGGTGAGATCACTGCTTTCTCCTTCTCGTTTGGATACAGAATGGTCCCGGACAAAATCCTCTCTAATGTGTCACATATATCTGTAATTCCAAGAGGCCTCAACATGGTCATGTGTGTATGTGCACGGGAGTGTGTGTGTGCAAAGCACTTATTAATCTGCCCATGCCCTTTTGCTGGGTTATGAAGTCCTGATTGTGAGTCATTGTTTTGGCTTCATTTATTTGAACACACCCTGTAATCACGCTCGCAAATATACGGCTTTAAAAAGGTGGCTGCCATTTTCATCACGGCACTAACAAAGTGCATTTGAAATGGTTCTGACTCCCCCTGAGCTGAGCCATCAGTGCTCATACAATACCAATCAGAAGAAAAGCTTCAAGCTTGACTACATTAATAATATTAATAAAACAGAAAATTGAATGCTTGGGCTAAGAGGTGGGGGGGGGAAGTGTCTTCAGAAATCCTCTGAAGACATCCGTCTTTGTCTCTGACTCTTGTTTCTCTTTTCATTATTGGCTTATTGAAAGTGAAGGCGAATGACAAAATAGCGGGCTAATTCCTGTAATTATGTGTGTTTGTCAAAGGAAATTTGCCAATGACAGCGCTTCTTTCCTGATCTTTAAGCCAGTAGCTTCGGGGGTGGCATTGTTACTTACAGAGCATTTATAGACAGGTCATGAATTAGTGTGGCCTGGATGTAGGTGGCAAGGGAAAAATAGCTCCCCTGGGGAAAGCTTGCACAACACACTAGGCTGGTTTATGTAGTCACTGACTACTGAGAAAGTGGGAGGAGGCAAGAAGGAGGTCTAGGGACGGGAGACAGTCTACAAAGGTTGGAGAGGGACCATACAATGTAAAAGCAGGAAACTCTAAATCGGAATAAATAGCATGAAAAAAAGACAAAAACATTAACAGACAGAAGACCCCAAATTTGGAACAGAAAATTCTCTACGTGCAGATGGTGACCATATGCAGAACAGTCCAGACGTCACGTAAAGGTCAGAGAGCACAGAACCATCAAATAAATGATTTCCATGAAGACAATTCGACCCAAAGACATTTTATTATTATTTGAAGAAACAAATCAATGCATTATTACAGGGGGTGGCTGTAATGTGACAACAGAAATATGTTTATCAATGTCCCATTTACTGCTTGGGGGGGTTGTCCTCAAATGCTTCCCACTAAGAAGCTCAGGACAGCCGCTTTGCCCTGCTCTGTGTCGGAGCTGAGAACCACATGACAACAGATGTCATGCAGCTCTTTAATGTCCTCAGAAAAAAGTAGTGGAATAATTTATTTGCAATTTAACTCTCTGGGCAAACATTTCTTTTACAACTGCTCATTAAAAGTAATAGAGATGGTTTATATAGTTAAATAGTAAAAGGGTGAAAAAACAACCAGTTCGTGTTCATCCTTGAACAATCTTCTCTCTTGATTGTTTAAAAACTTTCAGATGCAGCATGGTCCTTGTTTGTTTTTTCAAGAAAGACGCAAAACAGGTCAATTCACTTGGACGTGTGGAATCCAGTATGCCCAAATATATTGCACGCTATATATGTGGTTTGTAATTTAAAGGAAATAGTAATATATCTGAGTTTTGCATCCCGTGTGTTGGAGCAGTAATGTCTGTCTCCACAGCTGCTAGTGGTTACGTCAGCCGTACCTTCAGTAGGCGGGCATGCTCCATCAGGAGGGGGTCACGAAGCTCTCGCTAGCACATGTTCCACACATACACGTTTGACTGTTACCTTAGTGCTGCCCTAAAAACAGCCACCCTATTGGCTAATATGATAATGCACAACTGAATTAAAACAACATAAAACATTACAATACATTAGTTCCCGTAGCTCATGGCCACCACATGGCACTGCTCTCATGTGGTGGTTACAGCTGATAACATCTCCCCCAACCACCTTCAGCTCCCTTCAGCTCTGTCAGCACTGTTAGTGTTGGTAACACCTTTTAGCTACGAGCTGCTGTTGAGAGGTAAGAGAGATGCTCCCAATCTTACATTTTAAAAGTGTAAAATCTTCAATATTCAGAGCACAATATATAGCATGAAATAACCAGATGGCTACTGGCGATTGACGTCTGCCTGTCTCGGTGAACCACATTCAGGCCTGGAGCTACAGTGGACATCCACCATACTCAGCCATAAAACATACCAAAGTCTGTTTGGCGCCGCCCTCAGTCTGCCTCAGTCCAGCAATTGTGTGTGTGTGTGTGTGTGTGTGTGTGTGTGTGTGTGTGTGTGTGTGTGTGTGTGTGTGTGTGTGTGTGTGTGTGTGTGTGCGCGTGTGTTCAAGCCTACCTTTACACCTGGACACTTAAGAAGGTTACACAAATATTCAATTGAAACAAACAAATTCAAGTGAACTTCCATTCTGTTTGTTTTCAACCAAGTGAAGCTTTAACAAGCACAAAGTGTGTCAAGCCCCCTGTATTGGCCCATGATTTCATTGGCTAGTCATATCACTGTGAACCCTGCCGTTAACTGAAAGAGAGCGCACATGTGGGAGGGCGACTAAAGGGCCACTTGGAGAGTTGGGGTCCCTCCAGATCGCCGTAGCAACGACTCAACTTCACAGCTATTTGAGGGAAATCGGCCACACCCATTTCAACCTCTCACCCTGTTTCACAGTCCCCTTCCCTTAACCCTCAGACACACACACGCACACACACCACATCCAAGCAAAAAACAACCTTGCCCTGTTAAAAGGGTTGAGTGGCTCTCTACCGCCACTTCTATAAGAATAATACTCACTGCGTAAATGTATTCTGGTTACTGAATAAGTGTCTTGTTTTGTATTCCTACTTTTGAATCACTGGTGGGGTGTTTGGAGGGAAGTAAAAAGAAAAAAACAGGTTTAAAAGCGTTACTGTAGGGTAGTTTTTGTAGAAATCAACAGAGGGAGTTACTTTTTTAGATTTAGTGGTCAGTGGTCACAACTCTACTTGGAGCCATATCCAGCACAATCCTTGGTAAAGGATCCAATAGAGAACTGGCTGTGTAAATGGTGCTTAAGTTAATTAGCAGGTAAGGAAAACAGACGAATAGAGGAGCTATGATGGGCTGTAGGTGATGGGCCGTGGGTAACATTAACACACTACTAACCACAATTAATGATAGTTATGTAAGAGTAGTGTGAGACTGAACTCGCCAAGGTTTAGAAAACATTTGAGGTACATATTATGAAAATTATATATTAAACTCTGTTGAGATTAGCAATAAATGTACTCCTGATAAATATGTGTAAAGGGATCCATTGTTTTGACCTTTGGGTAGGTGTGCCTAGTTTCTCATGAGAGTAATAAACGCTCCACTCTTACACAGATAAATTACAATAAAGTATTTGACCAAATCTCAAAAGTTGATTCCTCATTGATTCCACTGGGTGTCAGTATTGCTTCATATGGCTTCAGTCCATCAACGCAGGCCACTCTGAGGCTGTTTTTTGGCCTCTTCTCCGAAAATGGCATACCATGAATAAAAGTCTGATGAATCTGTAACTACTTGGTCTATCCAGAGAATTTTATTTTGTCAGGATAAAGGGGAACCCCTGTGAGGTTTCTGATGTGTAAGAATGTATATGTTACTGGTAAAGAAATGAAACAAAAAAAAAAGTTGAATTTTGTGAATTGCCTGAAATAAAATCACTAACAGCCTTACGAGTCCTATAAAGCATGGGGATACCACATCTACGTCATAGCCGAAAATGTCACATTGAGTCCTGGAAACTACTCTTGAGCAGGGTCCTGTGCACGCTTCACGGCAAACAAACGACAGAAGTCAGAATCTGTATTTCTATCTAGGTCCGGCTCTGGTTGCTGATTCACGCCTTTCAACTAATTAATCATCAAACTAATCAATCAATTGATCATCTTGAAGGCAGAATTCCACCTGGTAGAACATGTTGAACTAGCGACTCTTCCTGCTGTCCTTCCACCCTGCTGAACTCTGCTCTCATCTCCATCATTTAACGACCATTAAATGATGGAGTGAAGATGACCGAAGTGCCAACAATCTCCCCACATTTAGCCAGGACGTTTTCAAACCACGTCTTTTAGGGACACAGTGGGGGTCCTCTGCAGACTGTGTCCCGCGCAGGGTGACGTTAGATGTTGAGATGGAAGTAGCTTAGCAGCTAGCTTAGCCTGGCAGCTACCTTAACATAGCAGTGCTTTAAGTGGTCCGTTTGCCACTTCACCCCCCTTCTGTTTGACACGTGGAGTAATTCCTCTGGACAATTCTCTGCTGTATGTCGCGCCTCTGTTTGTTTTACTTCCAATGTGAAAAGTTCTTTCCATCATGAGCTACTCTCCGGGCCGGGCTACTTGCTTTCTCTGATGTAACTGACTGCATCTAGAAGCTGTTTCGTTTCCGCGGTCAACTTTCGGGAAGCAAAAGGTACGTTAACTATGTAAAAATATTTTGTTGCATTAATCTCGGCCACCTTAATCGCATAGGTTAACATGTTTATGGTGACTTTCAAGACTTTTTCAAATCATTTGATTCTTTTGGATCCATCTAAACCCACGCAGAAATTATCCTTAGCCACTCAGAAGCCAAAATAGTTGGAGTGTAAAATGACGCTCAAGAGCAGGGATGGGCTGAAAAAAAAAAAAAAAACGTGCTGAAATTCCTTATGATGCGCATGCAATGGTGGCTGCATGTATCTGGCTGAAAAAAATCTGAAAAAATGTCATAATTTTGTTCAAAACGTCAAACATTTTACATTACATTTAGCTGACGCTTTTATCCAAAGTGACTTACAAAAAGTGCATTTCAACCATAAGGATACAAACCCAGAAGAACAAGAAACAAGAGTGCAGTTTCATCAAATAAGCCAATTTACAACTTGTTATAGATAAGAACCAATATAATATTATACGCTGTAGCCTGCCCTTGTCCTTGCAGCTGTGTGTTCCCAGGACAATGAGGAGAGGTGTTCTCTATATTTTGAGGTATTCTCTCCACCTAGTCCTGGGTCTTCCCCGGGGCCTCGTCCCAGCTGGCCGTTCCTGGGAGACCTCCTTAGGGAGGCGCCATGGGGTCATCCTTACTAGATGCCCAAACCACCTCAACTGGCTCCTTTCAACGCAAAGGACCAGCGGCTCTACTCGGAGCTCCTCACAGACGGATGGTAGGAATGAAGATGACCGGTAGATAGAGAGCTTGCCTTCCGACTAATTATAAATAATTCATGCAGTTCAACGCAAACTTTTCTGTGGAGGGAGTATCTAAGGAAAGTTCACAGGGGCTGTTGTAGGTCGAAAAAACTAAAAGAAAAAAATAAATCATGGCGACTGCCCTGGTGTGGGTTCAGTTTGTTTTATTTTGTAGTTTCCTGCTCTCGTGTCCCTGGGTTAACTTCACTTCCTGCCCTGGTGTGTTTTTTCTCCTGTTATTACGTCTGCTGTGTGAGGGATTGTTTCCTGCTGTGTCGAATCACCTGCAACTTCCCAGTGTATTTAAACCACCTGTGTCCCTTGTATTCTTGTTGGATTGTTAATCTTTGTTGGTTAGTCTATGTGAACTGTGTATCCCTACGTCCGTCTTGTGTAAATAAAGTATTTATTGCTTGAATCTAGAAGTCTGACTAATCAGACACAAACGAGGTTGTGTTCACAAAAAAGTAAACTCTTTCTGAGATTAAAGTCTCAAGGGTAAGCATAATGACCTTCGGGGATGAAGCTGAATAAGTGATGAGCATAAATGAGATATTAATTCATAATGGACAGAGCAAAGGAACAAAGGTATCCAAGGAAGTCCAAGTCCAAGCCATCCAAGAAGTGGCTTTGGTCCCAACACTATTTTTTAAGACTCTAGGAAGTAGTAACCCCGCAATGACAGTAAAAACTCAGATTAAAGGAGCAGACGCTACACAAAAGAATGCTCTTTGAAATACACTTAGATTTTTATTGGTGACATTCATGACAGTGAATACTTGGCATTGATCGAAATACAGCCATAACTGTCTGAAAAATGCGAACAAGACAATAAGTAACTCAAGATTAATATAAGAGACTTTTGCATCATCAATAAAGAAAGAACAACATAACGCAACAAAAGTACATTTTGTTGCGTTTCAGAGGCTTAGATTGTAACTATAAGCTTCATCATTCTAGCAGGTAAATATTCTGAATGATTGTATATTTTAGATAGCGTTGAGCAGAGAATTGTAAATAATGCAAGCTGGCTAGACAGCTATCTCAAATCACATCCACTGAACCACCTAATTTCTGACCCAAAATTTGATATCTCAGCTGAAATGTCTGACACTCTGAGACAAGATAGCTAATCTCAGCTCAACAAGTCCTCTACCATTTTATCATACGTATAAACTGCTACATAACAGTGTCCTGTGCACCACATAATACTCAAGTTTGCATTACATTGTAATTATGTGACCAAAGAAGCAATAGAAACACAGTGTTATTAAACCTTTAGACCAAATATCCATCTTGTGATAGAGATGTCTAGAAGGAATAAAAGGTTATTAGTCTAGTTGTCAGTAAAATAGAAGTGCTGCTTTGCTATGGAACATTAATGTCAGATCAGAAAATAGCATGAAATTCTATACAGCTAGGGCTGGGCGGTATGGCAAAAAATTCATATTACAGTATTTTGTAAGGTTCTGGCGGTATCCCGGCATATATAAGTAAACATATTCATTGACCCAGAAAAAGACCGCCGCTGGCCAACTCAGTCGCATCTTCCCAGAGAGTTGGCTTGTTAGCCTTTTAGCCGTGGTGGCTGCTAGTGATGCCACCAGAGGCAACACAAGCGGCTCGACCAACTTTGCAATAAATCGTTTTCTCATCTACGTCAAGTTTTTCAAAACCCAAAACCCTCCAAACAGACACAGCTCCTCTCTTGGGCACAAGTTGTGGTGGTGCATCTCTGGTCTGTCGTTGTTCCCCCTACATCGGTGTTTTCATGTAGCCACAGTGTTTCTTTTGAGCTCCACCCAGCATGCAGTTCGGCGGTGTCCTTTTAGAAATGTACAATTATTAGTGTCACAAACTTTAGTGTCGTGGTGTTTTACACTGTTAAAGAGTGTTTGCTGTGGGTTATTAATTGTCATAAAGTTATAACCATGACTCAATCTCAATACATATAAGACAAGTAGCTCCGACCGCTGGGTCCGGTGGAGAGGGGTGAACAATACTGCCTGCCAAAGAACAAAAACAGTTTTACGGCTATGTACGGGTATGACAGTACGTGAAAAACTCATACCGCAAGGAAATTTGGTACCGGTTGAACCAGAATACTGCCCCGCCCTTTATACAGCCAAGGAGACTTCAACACTTGATGATGCTGAGCAGCTCACGGGTAGAAACACCACCATCATCATTGTCATCTTGGCGAAAGCTTGTTTGTGTGCGTTAGTAATAGCATCAACTAATTATCTGCTGTTGTTTAGCCATTCCTATATGACGCATGCAAACCATGCATTACACAAAGAGTGCTGAAGCAGCTTGTGCGACTTTATACATTGACACCGAAGATTGAGACAAGCCTTGATTTAAAGTTTTAAAAAAATGGCTTGAAACCTGGGTATTAAGATTGTATCATCGTGATATCATGATCCTGTAAACATATAGCTCAAAAGCATTAATATACCTATGGGGGCAGCTGGTTGATGCCAATGACTAACATGGTGTTTTTCTTTCAAATCGACAGATTTATTGTTTTTAAGTACTCATCAAAGAGATAGATTGCCTCTTTACGGGTTGTTTTTGTAGCTCCATGATGGCCAGCTCGCTCAGTCTTGTGAACATCTGCCTCTTTGAATTGTGTTTGCCTATAGTGATGCTAATGCTCTGTAACATTAAAGGGGACACACTCAACTGTGCCCCCATTTTTCTGCCTAAAAACATTTTTTTATGGAGTCAATGCAATCAGTGGGTTCACACATGGCAAAGTACAAACGCACAGCCCTTTCATGTCAAGTTCGGCCTGAACTCTGGTGGTCTTAGTATTCTTCAAACTAAGAGCTTTTCTCATATAATGAAAATGCAAACCTGACGATCCGACTTGACGCACCAATTAGTTGCTTTATTACTACTTCTGTTCCACCAGATGTTGCAATGACGCTAAGCCAGTTCGAGGAGAGTGTGGCCTACTCTAGTTACTATGAAGCATACTGTGACCCTCACACACGACTTTGCACCGTTGACAATAGCACAACCTTTTGACTGTGTTGATCAAAAAGGAGGTAAGCCGGCGTCAGCATTGAACGCTTGATGCAGTGCCAGAAGTTCATTCATATGAGAGGTATAGAATGTAGTACTCTACAGGTGTCATTTAGCATGGATGATACCAGGCACTGCTTGATGTGGTCTCTCCTGTTCATCCCCACTACTGTTGTAGTGTCGGGCCGAAGATAACACATCACACACAGCAACACCCCTTTCATTCAACCTGTGAGGTCCTTCCTCAGGATGGTCGGCTAACACATTGAACATTTACACATTGTAAATGACTTTGATGAAATCCCAATCACTGTGATAATCAGTGTTAGTCACACATAAAGCTCTGATTATTAAATTATTCTTGACATTAAATGTTATTCATACTAGGCACTCTAATTTAAAACTTCATAACCCTAATCATATGTAAATGTGGCTTTAAATTGTATGATTATTTCTGGAAATGCCTCAGTCTTTTACAAGGCAACAACAATTTCGCAGTAGGATGGAAAAATATTGTCTTCATATTTATCCACTGATAATGTAATACATCATTATGAATGAATCTCCTACAATTACTGTTATACTACTGTTATCATTTCAATTTTAATAGCTTTTTTAAGGACTGAGATATTCATGTTTCTTTTTGTGACTGAACAGTTGACACATTATTTTTCCCTTTGAAAGAACGGGGCATTCAAAGCTGTCACAACCTCTCATGCTATGACTGGATAGAAACAAATATAGAGAGTTGTAAATGTAAAAGCACATAAACACAACACGATGGACTCACACACTATTGGTTCTAAAGCTGCAATGCTAAAAAAATCTGTACAATATATAAATACCATATTTACAGAAATAAACACATTTCATTGTCTGTCTCTCATCTAGTGCGCACCTTTGTGCAGCCTCACACTTCACCATTCAAAGTATTCAAGTGGCCAAGTGGCTTTTTGTCCACATTTAATAGTCAGAAGCATTAACAAATAAATGCATTTGAGCTTGCAGGACGTTTCACATTCTTGGAGTTAGTTTTGAATAAAGGACAACCTTTAAGGACCATACTGGTGGCTTTCCATGATTTGGGGATAATTATTTCAAAATCAAATGTTCTTTGAAATACTTCATCAGGAAAAAAAGGTAATATATCTCTTAGAAACATATCAATTGACATTGATATGTAGGTTAAGTAAGGATGCCCAACAGAACCTGGTTGTAAATAGAGACACCAAATGGGACAAAGTCACATGGTTACGGTGGGCTCTGCCTGGATGTGAACGCGTTAACCATATGTCTTCTTTAGTTCTTTTGCTGCCCTCAAGTCACAGAAACTGCCCCACGATCAACTTGTTTTACCCTCTTCATCCACAGCCATGCAGAGCTAGTAGTTCTGTATTATGAACCAGGGACAAGTGGAAGCCGACCGTCATATTTAGCCTAATTATCCATGTATCTTTAACATTGGGTAAACTTGAGGCCGACACAAACTAACCTAGCCCCCCTTCTACCACTGATAGCGATGTCCAGTTTATACAATAATACAATGCAATGATAGCATAGCTCCAGATATGAAGCTGACCACATGTCTACTTCAGTGGATCACTGTCAATAAAATGCTTTCTGGAATGAGGCAAATCTATATGAATACAATTTTGGAGTGGGGCTGTGTGAAGCATCAACAATTTACACAGTTGAAAGGGTTAAATCATGCAGAACCACTAGTATGGCTTCAGCACTCTAGTGAAGGGGACCTGATGTTGTTTTTGAAGCACACAAACAGCTTTAGATCTTAAATCCACCTAGATGACGTATTAGTACGACCTTTTACACAGATGTTTTGCAAAGCCCAGCGATGCAAAGGTCTGCTTTAATCTGACAGACATAAAGTGAGGCATGTAAGGATGCTTTATGAATGTTGATCCACCTATTTGTGTCTTGTTTTTTTTCTGGCTCTGAAAATGCTCAGAGAGAAGATCTGAAAAGCAGTAATACATTATGTCTGAGACGTGAATAAGCCTTTTTGTCATCATAACCACTTTCCAGTGAATATCCCCAGCTTTTCTGTGTGTGTGTGTCTGTGTGTTTCAAGCCTTATCTATTTTCCTTTTCCCCTGGTTGCAACAATTATTGCACTAGCTATCTTGTTACCTTCTCAATGGCTTAGGAAGTCAATGCTAGCTTTGACGGTGCGTCCGGTGGACACATCCACTGCCATGGCCCGGATCTCTGTGTCGCCAAACTGCATGAGCGTCTGGATCTCGCGGCGCGGCGCCGTGCTTTCCGTTCCACTCACGTCTAGGCGAAGTGTCCCACACTTCCTGACGCCAGGCTCGCTGATGAACCCAGCTTTCTCCTTCTCAGAGCAGTAGACGTGGATAACGATGACCTGCTGAGACGGCTTGGCCGGGGTGTAGCTCCGCTTCACCATCTCACCCAGCGCCACGGACTGGTCGGCGGCAATGAAGGTGTCAAAGACATCTGTGCACCAGCGAGTGCCGTCTTTCACCAGCAGCTTCTCCGGCGGGTGCTTGCCCTCCACAAAGCGGTTGAGGACGCCCACTCCGTATGTGAGAGGCGAGCGGCGGACCTTAATGATGGTGGGATCCAAGCCGAACAGCACAGCCCCTTTCAGGATAGTGAGGCCGACGTCGTGGGGAATGATGATGCGGCTGCGGCCCTGCAGCATGTCCTGGACAGCTTGCTGGAGCAGGGGAGACTCAGCGAAGCCTCCCACTAAGAACAGGAACTTAATGTCGCTCACCTCTGGCTTCTCAAACAGCTCAGCTGCAGGAGAAAAGCACAGGAAAACAACTGACTGTTTACAAGAATTGTAATGCAGTGAGTGATGTATTTAAGTTGCTGTTGTTTTCACTGTGAGGTATTGATATGTGTTGAGGTGTTAAAATGCAGCTTACTGAGATGCTGGATGATGTGGTCTATTGTGGGCTTAAAGAGGGAATTCATAGCTTCTGGACTCATCCTCAGCATTCCTTGAGACGACCATTTCACAAAATCCACACTAAGAGAAGATGTGAGAGTATAAGTATTGATATTATTATATACAATAGTATTAGTACTTCATCTTCAGTTGAGTGAAATCATAAAAAGCAATAGTACTACAATCTTTAAAAGAAATCTGTTCAACCATAGTCTTCATTCAAATCTCTTAGCACACCGTTTCTCTCATTCAATGTGCTCTCACAATTGTCTCATTTGCCTGATGGCATCGGGACAATTGAGCCAAACGACACAAAGTGTGCTGCCAAAGAGTTAGCTGCTAGCATGCTAACATGCTTACATGCACGTATTTAGCTCCTCTCATCATCTGGCTCTTAAAAGGAGTTAACAAGTCGCGCAAAAGTCGTTCAATAGTAAGTAGGCGGAATGAATAGGACGAAAGTCCCCAGTTGGCGGAATAAAGTTGTTTTGAAAACGCGGTGCTACTGCACGCTTTCTGTAATTATTGGCCAATCGCAAAATAACTTTATTGCACTTACTAGAAACTTTACTCCAATTAGAGATACAGTGGTGAATGGGTCCGCCCTTTTACAGTCAAAACGAAAAACTACTCGCTTGCGAGCAAGAAAACAGACTTGCCAGCGAGAAGGTTCAGGTTTCGCGAGTGAGCAAAATAAAAAATCAACTTTTGCGGTTGGCGGTTCGAACCCTGGCTGCTCAATGTCCCATGTCACACTGCTCCCCCGGCTGCACTACTCCCACTGTGTGGGAAGGGTTAAAAAATGTAAAACCATGGTTTACAATGCAATGTAAGTTGCTTTGGATATGTAATTAATGTTTGGTAAGTCTAGAGAGTGTGTGTCCATGCGGTGCTGTCAAGGACTATTTCCCTCAGTCCTAGCATATTTCTCCATGCCTGATGAAGTCTGACTGCAAAGCCATTAACCATAAAAGAATCAATAGGATCCTTCTGCTGTGATCCCATGTTTGTGATTCATGTACAGTGTGTACAAATCTAAGTAGTGTGTGAGTACTGAGTACTTCCAGTTAGGCATTAGAGTAGCCTGAGGGGCACCCAGGGCTCCAGTTTCAGCAGTGAAAATATCATCTAATGTTCCTCACAGGGGGATTATGAAAATACACTGCAGAATGATACGTGCTTTCACGTCAGACACCGGACATCGCTTTTTTAAACATTGCTTTTAGCCTGGTATCTACATGCATTATAGGACTTAGAGGGATGGTAATGATCCAATCTTTTTTTTTGTGGGATATATTTATTTATTTCTTCACTAGTAATATATAAACTGATTTTTACACATCAGAACACTTACAGGGGTTCCCCTTTATCTTTACAGAAAAAGAATGTCGAAACAGAGTATTAGAGTATAACAAGTATTTCCAGAGCTATTACACTTTTTATCATGGGTATGCCATTTTTGGAGCTAAGGCCAAAAAACAGGCTACAGGGTTAAACTATATGCAATGCTGTTCAAATGGTGAAGCGATGTGAAGAGCGATCTATTCTTCTGGAGCAATTTGGGATCAAGGCTCTCGCCTAAGGTCACATTGACATGTACTGGTGGAACTGGGAATCGAACAACAGTCGAACAACAATCAACTGATAGGACGACCTAGCAAGTGTTAATTGATGTACAAACTTACTTCTTTTACCAATAGCATTTTGTCTTTATACTCTATATTTTACTCATGTTGTACAATTAGAGATGTAAGTACCTAGCTTTACTAAATAAATGTAACTGGTGTATAAAGCAATTTTACAAATGAAATCAGATGAAAGGGAACTTTATAGATAAAGGTTGTATGAGGGTAGCGGCCAGACTAAGAGCAGTTCACTGACCCTATACAACTCCCCAGAAAAGGGAAACATAGCCCACTTATGAAGCCAGACCTGAAAGCTTTTGGCCAGGGCGTTCCCGTGGGGACAGCCAAATCAAATCTACATGGAGCAGGCATCGGCATTTGGGGTCTGGTGCATTGTGAGTCGGTTGGCAGGCTTGAAGTTCAGCTTGAATCTTAAACCTATGTATTCTTGATCAGGGGGATACAGACACAATGTCCAATTTGTCGGGTTTGGCGTCTGTTTTTTCTTTGTGTACTTACTTGCTTTTGCGCAGTGCATGTTCCACGCTGTGGCCCCGGAACTTCTTGTAGTAGTCAATAAAGGAGAACGGCAGGTTAATATTGAGGGGGTTGGTTCTGTCAGGGGCTGCTGCCCTCTTCCGAGACTCAAACGCAATCATCAGGTCCACCCAGGCAGCCGGCCTCTTGATCTTAAATTGGTCAATAAAATCCTGGCCAAAGATCTTACATAGTAGCTTCTCAAATGCATAGTCAATGCCGAGGGAGCCATAGGGACCACCTGGGAAAAATAGTGATTGTGAATCATGAAAAAACAAGATGAACCAAAGCTGCATAAAGCAAAGATAAATTGTGGTATATTATGCTCTTTACCTGAGGCCTTGTAGAGCTCTTTTAGATGTCCCTCTGGAAGACGGATCTGATGAACTGTCAGGTCCACGGTTCCTCCGCCACAGTCCACCACCACATATCGGTCACCTGCAGACAGAAGAATAGAATACGGTGTGCCGTAAACATTTAAAAAGGACTCATTCCTCCGACATGTAGCTGCCTCTCTATTTAGCACTACTCTATTTGCTATTTGTTATGGAAAATTCTTAGGGTAAGCTAGACGTGACTCTTAATGAAACGCCATCTTCTCGAACAAGGCCACACCTCTGTGTCCGTAGTGTAATCAGCCCAGTGATGAGCTGATGAAAGAAGAGACACGAAGGCAACTCAGGAGTGGGCTTCGGCAAAGACAAGGTGGTGGAGAGGAGCAGATTTTTTGGACTATTTGCACACATTTTAAACACTGTTGGATTGTTTGATTGACAGCAGAGCCGACAGCATGTGGCATGGAGGTACAAAATGAGATAGTAAAGTAACAGTAGCAGATAGTAGACTAACAATGGCTGTCGCAAGAATATAAACTGCTCATCAAGCTATGGTGGTCCGGATAACTGATGCCAGCAGTGAATTTTCTCAGTGAAATCTTTAAATCTATAAATATAAACTTTAGTTCCTGAATTGGGGGATTTTTTCCCCAGTCTTTAAAAAGCTCTTCGCAAAATATTAATGATGTATTTACTTTCATTTTGTATTTGTCTTTTTAACAAGACTACCAAATACAATCACCGCACTAGACCATCCTCAAATTACTGAAGAATACTGTTTTTCTTCCATGCCTCCATGGTAAACGGATAATCAAAACATGGAGAAAGGTTTTGATGAATGGAAGTAAATGAGACTGCTGTATAATCCAACTGCTCATCTTGTTTTTTTGCTTCTTGCATCTTTCCATCATTTGTACAAGTTATGATAACATCCTAATTGTTGACATCTCCACATTGAGCAGTCAAATAATTAGTAAACCCATCAAATTTTGCTTCCAGGACTAAATAACTAAATGTAAACAGTGGGAGGTACAGTTGTGACATAAATGGCCTCTATACATTCAACTATTGCAAAGTGGAACTACTTTTGGTCCAACCACAATTTAATAAAATGCAGAATCAAGATTGTAGCAATTTCCTCAAAAACAGCATGCTCTATTTATACCAAACTCAAACCTTGCAGCATAAGAAATAGCAAGAGCATTTCCCCCTAAGTGAGCAGGGAAAGGAAAAGATATTGGATGAGTAAAAGAGAAAGACTCTACCTTCTTCCAGCTCCGACCAAAGCTCCCCTATGACATTTTCCACCAAAAAGGTGCGGCTCTGCCGGTTGCGCCGAACAAGCTCCTTTGCTGGTTGTTAACAAAGAGAGAATGTTGTGGTGAGTGGGATGAGGCTGTGAAGCTCTGCTGTGTTGCTCATATACAGAGATGTGTGAGTTAGGCAAGCAGCAAGCTGAGAAGCAAATGTATTCATAACGTGAGCAAGAATAGTAGTAACAATAACAACTTATTCAGTCTATGATGTTGATTTTTAGGAACAGCTCAATATAAATGAGTTATGGATCATTCGCCTGTTCAATATACATGTGTGGAGTATATGCCACTACATCGGGGGCGCCCAATAGGTTATTTGGGCGAACAACAGGGGGGGTTTATTGCACACGACTTGGTCGATAGAAAAATAGCTATGGCCTATATGTCACACCAATCCAATAACAGTGTTAACATGCAGTGAAAGGGCCATGTGACCCCAACTGGAATCCCATACCCACAAAAAATATACCTGAAATAAAAGTGAAATAAACCCCAAACTGGGAACTTTGCAAGGAATCTAATGTACAAAAGAAAATGCGTGAAGGCCTTAGGCAGTAGATAGTTTAACAAGTCAACGTGTTTCTGTGTTTTTTCTAAAAATAACAAAGAATGTCCACATAGACAGTTTTTACTTATCTAACAACCCCATTAGACAGCACCGGCTGCTCAGAAAAGCCATGTGACCTGAGGCTGACTGGGAGGGGCTGGAACAATCACTCAAGTTCAATACACACTAAAATGATTCACAATATTGAGCTTATTAAGCATTTGCCCATAATTTACAATTCAACATGGCGCTTTTTTCCAACACTCAGCACAGGCTTCTCTATATAGAATATGAATGTGACATCAACCAAGATGTTAGTCCTATAAAGACCAAAGCTAAGAATCGTTTTACATCAACAAAGGAAGACAACGTTGAGGTCTGTACTCAAAAAACATCCGCCTTTGAATTGAGCTGTAATCCGCAGAGAGCCTTCACATCTTCTGACCGCAAACTAAAGACACATCTCTTCAGACTCTACCTTGACTAAAAGACCAACAAATTGTAGCACTTAAATTGTACTTATTGCTATCTTATCTATAGCAAGTTGTAAATCGGCTTATTTACTGAAATTGACTCTGTTATTTCTTGTTCATTTGAGTTTGTATCCTTATGGTTAAAATGTACTTATTGTAAGTCACTTTGGATAAAAGCGTCAACTAAATGACATGTGATGTAATGTAATGTAATCCATGTTCTCACATTCATTGAGAAATGGAACATACGCATTGATCTATTGATAATTTTAAAATGTGGACGGAAATACACATTTCATCAATGCTGGTCTTGATTGTGTATTTGGTCAATTTATTCATGTACTTCACTCGAGCAATGTTGCTGAAAAATCAAACCCAGACTGTCATGAGGAAGCTTTTAGATGTGTTTAATATAGAGCAGAGAAGTGTGTAACGTAGTGACACAGTATAGAAACAAAGACCAGAACCCTTTTCAATTTTCCAAACAACTTTGAATAATAGTCTCAAAATGCAACTATTGATTTATTGTTCAAGGAAACCAATAGACTGTTTTGCTTTTTGTCTGGCTTAAAAAGGGTTATTTTTTAGAACGACATTACGTATAAAAATTAAGTAAGGTTAAGTAACATAGCTGCCAACATTTTGGGAAACACAAGGTCTCATGTACTAACCCCTTTGAGCCCACTTAAGGCTTATTTGTTCCTCAATGTGCACGTAAAGGATTTTTGCCACAAGGATCACACTTTTTCAGTAGAGTGAACACAAAATCATTATGTGTTAGATATGAAGCAGCCATGCAATATTACAGTTACTGGAAGAAATCAAAGATGATCTCCCACTCAGTGTTCACATTCCATTCCAACAGTTGTTAAACTCCTTGATACATTACAATGATTGGCATCAGGATCATTTCAAACAGTCATAGCATCAGTAGTGGGAATATCGCAGTCTGTACACAGCCGTATCACAGCACAGGTACTTATGGCTTTGCTAGAGCGCACTAGTCAATACATACATTTCCCACCACTAATGCAGAAATAACACATTGACTTTGTTGTCACTGAATTTTTGTTTTTGCTGTTTTGACTTTGGTTGATCATGATAGAAAGAGAGCAGGAGGCCCATTCACTCACGCTTTTAAAATGCTCACAATGTATAGTGTATAGTAGGTGGAGAAAGGTGCTGATGAACAAAATTACCTGATGAGCTGCAGGTTTACGACGTAAACTGAAGTATCACAGCGAGCGCTATCTGCTTGTTTTCCGTGGCGCTGATAACGCTACCTTTGCAAATGTACGTACATGAGGGACAGTGTCAAACAGCGTGCTAGAGAGACCCTTTGAACCACGAGTTCAGTGTCTTTTTTTAAGTTGAATACGTCATCAGCTCTGACAGTTGCATCGACATGTGGATGTATTTAGTTTGATTTGGTACTGCAGATATATGATCCTAATTGATTTTCATTTGCAAATCTTGCAAATATGGGGCCGCACAAACCTCAACAACGGTGGCAAACTCTGACCAAGGATTACGCAGCCAAACAACGCAAACAACCCAAAAGTCAGACAGCAAAGACATCTGAGGATGTGATGCTTCTGGGACAGAGAATGTGTGCCTTGTAAAGCCCTTTTTGTGCTGTAAAAATTAAATTGACTGTAATTGAGGCTGTCCATTGTGAGTGAGCATGGGTCTGAAAAGAGCAGAGGTGTCAAGTAAAAAAGTACAAATACTTTGTTATTGTACTTAAGTAGAAATTTTGGGTATCTATACTTTACTGGAGTATTTATTTTTCAGACGAGTTTTTACCTCTACTCCTTACATTTTCACACAAATATCTGTACTTTCTACTCCTTACATTTTAAAAACAGCCTTGTTACTTCCAGCTTGTTGTCGTTCAAAAACACAAACACAAAAAGAACCTATTTAGATAAATGGCGCTATCCGGACAGAGTGCATTTGATTGTGGTTGGCTGAGAAGTATAAACATTTAGAATCCAGACACCCGATTGGTTTCCTCTGAGTATTGAGTATCTTCATGATTGTGGGTTTGTCCTAAATGTTTTATTGAGAGTCTGGCACAACACAGCGACTTGCAAGTAGTGCAGCGTATTAAATAAAGTGATGTGTGTCTTAATGCGGCTTTGGAAATGAACACAAAGTATTTGCTCATGAAGCCTGAAAATACTGGTTTGGCCAATGTTTTGATAACCGACCGCTGCCAGTTCAGTGTGTCCCATCATTATAAACAGGGGTGCGCCCCCACCCCGTAAAAAGTCAGACCCCCCCATGACGTAGTAAACCTGCAGTCTACCTCATCAATGCGACCAATGCGTGTGTGTGACTCGTGTCACTGGAAAATGGGTTGTGGTTTTATCTGTTTAAGTCAGATACATTTGTTGTTGTTGTTGTTGTTGTTGTTGTTTTCACCATCCCAACGGCAGGTCACGTGATCTGCAGGCACCTTCTGATCACATTGTAACGGACTGACGTGTTGTGTGAGCGAGGTTACGCATTAAGAGTTTGTATTTAATGAAACTTCTTACTTTACTTTTGTAAGTAGTTTTGAAACCAGTACTTTTATACTTTTACTTAAGTAAAAAGCTTGAGTTGGTACTTCAACTTGTACAGGAGTCTTTTTAAACCCTAGTATCTGTACTTCTACTTAAGTAATAAATGTAAATACTTTTGACACCTCTGGAAAAGAGTAATGGAAGGATGTCTTGAATGTAAAATATTTTTTGCGGTTTAAACAAAATATTATATCATAGATTTCTGGTATCAAAATGTAAATGTGAATTTGTTCCTGATTTACTTCCACGGTGATAGCATTTGTTCATAAAAGTAGCATATTGGCATGTTGAATACGTTATCTATTTGACTAATACATTTTGTGTCCTATGACACTATGAACTTGGAAAAAGAAAAATCCAGGTGGTGATTGGTTCTATTGGAACCTTCTGACTTCATCAGAAGTCCACGCCCCCCCACCCTCGCTAAATGTTATTTTGTGTTTTTTCCTTGTTCCCTGAGCAGTAGTTTTTAATAATCTGATGAATGACAAAATCAATGGGAAATATATGATTTTTAAGCATTTGGGGTCATTGAATGAATAGGAGAGACTAAAATGGACTATTTATTATGCCATTCACATTTGTCTATCTACAATAATAAAATAACTATAAATAGAAGTAAACAGAAATGGAGTAATATTGTTGTCCTTGTGATGATGACAGACCTAACGGAATAGGTCTTGCACATGCTGAAATGTTGGGCAAGAATAATGACCGAAAACCGACTCGTGGGAAAGATGTTTCGAGAACCAATTTAAAATATTCCTTCAATGTTGGACCTTTGGACATTATTCTATTATCAATCATTATTGTATTAATACGTTTCAATGTCAGTCAGTTTCAGAAAATTTTCAAAAGAAAAAAGTTCATTCTAACTTTAAGCACTTAAGATTCTGTACGATGTGTATTGGACATAACTTAATCTTGTTTAATATAAAATATATTCCTATTACAATAAGTAGAATACAATAACTACATTTTAGTCAATTCTTTATAGGTTAACCGGTATGCATTGCATTCCTAGGTGAGAACACTGACATTTCCTGCATGCTTACAAACAATGACTTACATCAGCGCGCAACTTTAAATCATCAGGAGCTTGATTACAGGTCATTTAGCTGACGCTTTTATCCAAAGCGACTTACATTGCATTTTTAACCCATGGCTTTTATATTTTTGCCCAGGGAGCAATTAGGGGTTAGATAGAATCGTGTAAAAGAAGCACAAGCAAGTGATGGTTAAAATAAATAAAAATCATGCATTTCTATTTGTGTTTAAAAGTTAATTTTTACTATGAGAGAAACTATGGAAGAAACAACATTCAACAAGAGAAAAAAAATGTCAGTACTAAGTCTCGACAGAGAAACTGTAGGTATACACACTCACACTCTGCATGATTGCATAATCAATGAGGAGTCAGAGAGGAGGATTACTGAACATTGAACACCACGTGGTGTCCGGGCATGGAACGTACCTTGGGTCATTCCACTGCCCACGTTGTCAGTGGGGCTGCAGCCGTTCTGCGTGGTAAGGGTGCCCAGGTCCACCATTTGGTGGAGGCGGAGCTTGCGGCAGTAGATTGATGCTGCTTCTGGTTCTAACGCGATGATCAGCTGCTCTGGGTTTTCACGGGACACCAGACCAGACTACAGAAGAGAGGAATACGGACAACATGAACTTCTGCTGTTTTCAACTTTTCTCCAACAAGAATGGCCCTGATTACGCAGCATTGGGACCAATACGTCTGTTGTGAAACCAGCAGGAGGAGAGCTTATCAGCAAGTGGGCAGCACATGAGCAAATGTTGCATTGTGCTTGGTTAGTTTCAATGTAATCCTTTTTACTTAGTTTGTTGGTAGGCTCGATTTGTGTGTTAGTGGATCTAGAGAATAGGTTGCATCATGGCTCCAGGACAACGAACGGATGATGAGATCATTGGAGGCGTGGTTGGTTCACTGGCTTTCTCCCACCCACTGTCCTCCATGAGCAGCCAATTAAATGATGCAGATTGCCTGATGCTGAGTCACTGCAGATGGTCCCTTTCTCTCTACCTCTGTGTTTTATTCCCATCCTCCCTCTGTCAGCTTATCCCTCCATCTCTGCCTCCCACCACCCAGCGCAGCAGGAACAAGCTGCCCCCCCTTTCCCCATTTCTGCCCTCGTCATCCATACACCCTCCTCCTCTCTTCCTCTTCTTTCAGATCGAATACCAGGGGTGTGGTCAGGACAAAATGATGAGGTCATAGGGAAAGAGAGGAATCAGATTCAGCCCCAAACCAGTGCTCAAACGTTTTTTACGTGTGTGAGTCGCAGCGACTGCTCCTGTGATGCCTGATGGGAAGAATCCCTCACAACTGTACTAAACTCTGTATTTAGCTTCACTGGCTATTAGATCTTAGCTGTATTGGCCCTGACGAAGTACTCTGCTCAGTTTGTTCTTTGCTAGGTAATAGTCATTAATACATACACACATGCAATCCCATCTGAGCAGTCAGTACTCAGTGACAGTATAAAACTGCAGAATATATTGCCAATAAAATATGGCTGAAAAATGACTCAAAACAACCATCCACAAGAGGTCGTTGAGCTTGAAGACACAAATGAGCACAAATGTTGGCTATATATATATACACACACACACACATACATTATATATATATACACAAGTTCAGAACATTTACATAACACTCACACACACAGTCATCTCCTTTGACCCCTTTCTTCACTGCTGACAGCTGGTCACATATACTGAGGGTCTTTGATAGTCTACATACCATACCTTTTGCAGGAGGCTATCAATATATGTGATACATCCCTATATGATTTCCAGGACTCCAAACTGTCTATCTACAATATCTATCTATCTACATCAACTTCTACTGGACATGGAACACTTCCTATGGAGCACAACAAGGTTCTGTCCTGGGTCCAGTCTGAGTTACCCCTGGGAGTCACCATCTGTATGCAATGTATTTATTTTCAACTCAGTCTCAAACTCATTTCAGGTGCGGGCCAAACTTGATACCCCCCCCCCCGGCAGCACGCCGTACGCCCCGGCAGGCCTGATATGGCCCGCGGGCCGAAGTTTGAGACCTCTCAAACTTGTAGGGTTTAATATAGTTTTTTAATGGTTATAATCTCATTCAAGATTTTGAATCAGTCACTTCAGTCAGTCGTGTTCAGACTAGAGATCTTTATATATACGCCTACCTTATAGGCAGCTTCCCTCATAAACTGCTTTGCAGGCATTTTCCAGATGGCAGGAACAGTGATCACCCATCTCACATCATTGTTGTCAAACTCGATGCCTGTCTGATCGCTCAATTCCTGCAGGCGAAAAAGTATTTTAAAAAAACACAACAGGTGAGCCAACTCAAAAAAGTGTTAGTGTCACACTGTGGGCTCAGACCAATGGTGTAAAAAGTGCCAGGTCATGTTTACTACAAAAACATACCAGGGCATCAGCCAACCAGGACCAGTGGCAAGCTGCCATGCGGTGTGTACGGGAAGCTGCGATAGCCCCTCCGAGCTTAGGCAATCAGTCCCAAACAGTCCTGGGACACGTTCTGCTATTGCAGCAAGCCACACTTGGCCGCTGGCTTGGCTTTTTCTTTGCAACTCGTTGCCATTATGTCACAAAGTACTACGCTTACCAGTCATGAGTTATCTTTACTAGCATATTGAAAATAAGAAATGAGATCAAACTGAACATGGGATTGAGCCCATATTCTAGCGAATGTAAAATATAATATTCATCGTTCTTATAATACCACAGAAAAGACACAAGTGCTGCCAGACGTGTGTTACCTTTAGTGCCTGCTCCTTAAAGAAGGCTAATGCATATGCAAAAATATCCAGAGCTTTCACTCGCTTCCCGTTGGCTGCATGGAGGTCTGTGTCGATGGACAGATTCTGATAGACAGTAGGAGACATCAGTTAGAGTTGAATGAACGAAACAAAATTATAAGATGAAGAGGGCATATGAGGGTTGCAGTCTTTCAGCTATTTTCTGTGGTGATTAAACATGATTTATTTTAAACAGTGTGTTTTTTTTGTCCTAGCAGCATGGCCATGGGTGTAATTCAACAGCCAGACTGAAGAAAATATTCATGGTCACCAGAGGATGATTCCTTGTGGATATCATGAATATGAAACATCAGTAGCAGTTGATTCCTTCCAAAATGTCTATGTTCCAGGTTGTTATGAACATGGCAGCATGTAGATGCGTTAGATTGATTTAAGGAATCAGGAACATTTATTACCAAAATATGTGGAATTTTACATGGCTTATTTTGACATGGCTCAGTTTGGAAACCCCAAATCACATATCAAAAATTCGAGAGGGCTCTCTGGGGATCATTTTTGGGGAATTTGCATAAATGGCATCTTTGAGCTAGATGAGACGGAAGGGAGGGGGCGTGGCTTACTACTGTTGCTACCAGTCATTATTACCTGCAGAGGACTATGGGCAGTAAAAAAAATAAAGAAAGTCAGCAGTGTGCTGCAGTATTGGTTCAGGGTCTAACTGCATCACAATATAGATCACTAGACAGAATGCGACCAGAGAGATAACAAAATCAAGTGTACTGCTGCTTGGCATAGAAGAGAAAGCCTGGAGAACTGCTCTGTATGTATTCAGTGTGTGGACTCAGGGTGTCTGTTTCCTTACGGCAGTAGTGTGGAGCTTCATTTTGAATTTTTCCAGATAGAGCCATTGTTTGGACTCGCTGGGGTCCAGGTCATGGTAGAAGTCACGTGCCGCGTAGCCAAAACTGTGGAACTTCCTGTCTGGAGTAAGCAGGATCGTGGTTGGAGTCTTCTGATTGGACACCCCAGGGTCCCC